ATTCAAGTTAAAATCATGCAATCAAAGTTTGTACTATAAGACTTATTCTTTAAAACCTTTTAACTTATCAACTCTTGATAATTGATTCACCTTTTCAACTCTTGATAAGTTATATTCTTTTAGTCAAAACTTGACTTATAGTCCATGACAAAATTTGATTAACCTAATTTTTCAATATAGCTAATCATTCTCTAATAAATCAATGTTTATTTAGAGAAAATTTTGTCATTTAGTGATGGAATTATTGTTCAAGAATTTCATATATCTTAAACCTTGATTATCTGTTATTCAACGCTTTGAGATGTCTAATTATGGTGAAAGAAAATGAATCCTTGTAACATAGGAGATTTAGGAAGCATCTATGACACACTATCGTCATCTCCTTTGTACTTACTATAAGCATATACTATTAATTCCATTCCATCTTCCATGATTGGAAGTATTAAAGTTTTAAAAGATATAACCAGATTTACTTGAAAACTTTTCTCAAGTCTCTTTGCCCGTCCAAGAAATTGAAAATATTAATTATATTAAGAATAATATGTAATTACTCATAATTTCTTCAACAAGTTGTAAAGATAAAAGAGAATTGCTATTTATGTAAAAATAAAAATAAGTTTGATTTTGTTCCCACTATTTTAATACTATAACCCTCAAACATGAAACCAGGAATTCAAAAATCCCTAGTGGGTTAGAATCTCATTTTAGTTATTTTAATCTTCATTAAGGTGAATAAACCAAGATAACTAAAACAAGTTGGTACTTATTACCAATTACAATAATTATAACTTCTAGATAGTTAAATTGTCAACTTTAGACAAGATGCATCTTATGTGTTTCTCAATCTTTGCCTCTACAACATACAACCTTCATTGAGGTGAACAAGTTATATATTGTAGTTAAGTTTAACTTATTATTCCAAGATCTCACTCATAATAAAATACGTCCTTGAACAAGAACTCCTATTTTACTATAACAATGAAAGGCAACTTGTGTCCAGACTTAACATTTAATTGAGGAATTTTAGACATAATATATCCAAGTTGGTCTCATCAAGTATATAACATGCATATCCATTCATCAAAATAAATAAATAAACAGACTATAATAAAACATGGATGATTATGGATTTTATTGCTAAACTAGTTCTCTTGAGCCAAAAGAAAACTAGATGGTCAACTAAGAGACAAATAACATCTCCATGCCTTGTACACATTTTGTATGTCTGTCATGGTAGAATTGGTGCCATCTCCATCTTCTTTGTACATTATAAATATAAACCTAATCTAAATATTTTAGATTCTCAACCTTTCCCCATGCCTAATATAGTCCATTACATAATATTGAGAGAAACTTTGACTTACATTCAATGGGAGTGAGATGAAAAGAGCATTTATATTGAGAGTATTTAGAGAAAGCAAGACACATAGGTCCTATTTCAAAAATACCAAAACCAAAACATACATACATTCAACCATTCCCATTGGTTTTAGTCCATAACCATCCATCATGCATTCACATAATACAACACTAAATGAAAGTATAATAATGCATTTATTTAATTCTAATCGTGAATCATTATATGCTCAAATTTTAAGCCATTTAAAGTTTCAATTCTTGAAAAAACTATGGAATACATTTTCTAATCTCATTAGAACAATTTTCAATATTTTAAAACCATGAACAAAACTTTTGCCTAATCTGATTATGAGCCCAAGTCTAAATAATGATTTTCTAGTCCAACTAGAATTTCTTAATTCACTTAGGAAAGGAAATTTTCTTTTAAGTCATTTTAGAATTTCAAATACTAACTTTAGAGTATTTTCCCAATTTAATTTCATTAAATTAGAAAGTTTCTAAGGTATTTCAACACCTGCCAAATTTAATCTCAACAAATTTGGAAGTTTCTAAAGTTGATTAGACTTTCTTAATTTTAGTCTCACCAAAATTTAGTAAGTTTTCAAAACATAATTGAACAATTTTTTTTCCAATTTGAATTTTTAAGATTTTTTTTAAAAAAATACCATAATTCTAATCATATTAGAAATATAGGAACTTTTCATGTTGTCTTAGAAACCCACACGGAAAATGGAAATCAATGACCATATCTTATTTGTCATTGGAAACTTACTGGTTTCCCAATTTTCCTTTCTCCAGAAAATTTTTAGCAATTGTTAACCAATCAAACATCAACTTCACCATCATTACATGGTAGGAATTCGAAGCAACAAGAATAAAAAAAAATGCAACAAAGTAGCTGCGGTGGGACTACGTTAAAAACCATTGTAAAACAGTGATTTCATGCAATTTCCAGCAACCAAACAATACAGGCATGAAACGTTTTCATGCATGGAAGAAGAAACCAAGGCAAATCAATTTGACTATGATAAATATTAGGCCAACATTCCTAAGTTTACAAAGTCAAACTATTTGAACAATTAATTTGGCTCATCTTAATTCATAGGTATGGCTTCGAGGGTTGCCGCCGACTTGCCTTAGTTTCTTCTTCCTAGGGTTTCGCTTGCAACATGGCAGCCATGGCTGCCCTCCGGCTGATGCCTGGAGGGCAACCATCTTCGCTCTCTCCCACCTTTGCAATGAAGTCTTTCTCTTCACTCTTCTCTCAGTTGAATCAGCCCCTGCTCAATGTCAAGGCTATGCTGTCCTCTCATAAGGGCGAGCCTGCTATATCCTTTGCTCAGGATGATCTTGACACTCTGTCCGCTCCTTTCACGTTTGCTCTCGTCGGCAAATTCTCTAAGGGAAGGTCTAGCATGGAGGTTATATGGAAGTTTTTTCTGACTTTGGATCTTAGGGAAACAGCATCGGTAGGCTTACTCGACTCTGGACATGTTCTCATTCGATTGGGGAATGAGGTGGATTTCCTTAGGCTTTGGTCTCATAAGATTTGGTACATACATGGTGTTTCTTTGCGAGTGTTTAAATGGTTAGCCGCTTTCCATGTCGATCATAAGCCTTCGGTGGTGCCGGTTTGGTTCCAATTGCCGAAATTGCCAATTCATCTCTTTCACAAGGAGTCTCTCTTTCAGATTGTGAGCTGCTTGGGTAAGGCTTTGTTCGTGGACTCTGCAACAGCTTCTGGAGTGCGCCCTAGTGTAGTTAGGGTGTGTGTGGAGATTGATTTCCTACAACCTTTCCAGTCACGGATATGGATTGGTAATGGACAGCATGGTGGCTTTTAGCAGCAGCTTATCCCGGAACGTCTTCCCTAATACTGCGACTATTGCTTCAAACAGGGACATGACAGGGCTTCATGCTTCGTTCTTCATCCTACTTTGAAGGTGGAGAAGGTGGAGAAGAAGGGTGATGAGGTGCGTAACTCGCTTGTGCCTGTTGAGGGCGTCCCACTGGTGTCTAATGCAAAGGGAAAGGAGACTGCCCAAGAGGAAACTTTGCAGAATGTGGATGGGGATAATCCTATGGGTAGCATAGGGGCAAGTGCTGGAGGGGTTGTCGTAGACTGTGCGCATCACCAACAGGCTGGCTGGGTCAATCCTTTGATGGAGGATGGGACGGCAGCAGGAAGACTCTAGGGAGGAGTTGGCGATGCCGCAGGCCGTGGGCTTGGGGGGAGAACAGCAGCGGCCGCCTGCTGGAACCAGCATGGTGCTTGCGGCAGTTGGAGCCAATGAGGAAGGGTGGCAGCAGGCCATGCTACGTTGGTGCAGGACCCTTTGCTTGCGCACATGTTGCCTTTCCAACAGGTGCAGGTGCAACCATCGCCTGATGGGTTAGTGGATGGAAGGGATGGCGTTGAACCTGGGGCAGCGGTTGAGGGAGAGGAGGAGGTGGTGTCCGACGGGTAGTTGGAGGAGGAGGCCATTTCCATGGCTGAGTAGAGGACTGGCAATCTATCGCCGCGAGGGCAACTAGTCCAACGGCAATGTAAGCCTAGCTCCTTGGTGATCGACATTTTTAACCTTGACCCAATAATTCAACAGATTCAGGAGAAGACTAATGGTGGGGTGATGTTAAGCTAGTTGATAAACCTAAGCGTAAGGGTGTTCGCTTGTGGGCTCCTATTGATCGTTCTCTACGCTCGAAGGCAAAGGTGTGCTCTAACTCCTTCTCTGCATTATCTGATGATTAATTTTCTATTCTGGAACATTCGAGATATCTCGCGTACTCCAAATTTTCATAGATTAAAAAGGTTAATTTTCGAGTTCTCGATTCAATTAGTGGCTATTTGTGAGCCTAAGGTTTGGGCGTGTGACATCTAAATGATATGTGCTCATCTCAATATAGATAGTTGGATGGTTAATAAGGAGGGATCTATCTGGGTGTTCTATAAAGATGGCTTCCAATGTGCTCCTGTTGGGAAATCTTCTCAACACCTGTCCCTTAGAATCTCACCTCAGGTGCTGTCGGTTCCCATTTATTTTTCCTTCATCCATGCAAGGTGTACTGAGCAAGAGCACGTTCCGTTGTGGTCAACGTTGTTAGCGGATAAACCGAGGGATGATCCATGGTTGGTGGTGGGGGATTTTAACACCATTATTAGTGCAGAAGAGAAGCAGGGCAGGCTGATGAAGGTGTAGAACTGAGATCATTTATGTTCAAGGCTGGAGTGTTTGACGCAGGATTCTCAGGTCATGTTTCACATGGTGTAACAATAGGGGTGGTCGTGCTCGAATTTGGAAGTGACTAGATAGACTGTTATGTAGTCCGACTACGACTTTAATGGGGATGACTTTTGGAGTTCGGTACCTAGGCAGAGGGCCTTCCGATCATGCCCCCTCCTGTTATCAGCTTTGACTCAACTTGATAACAAGTCTAGACCTTTTCGTTTCTTAAACGTTTGGACTTCGAAAGTAGAGCTGTTAGATGTCATTAGAATGAGTTGGTCAAGCTATTGCCCAGGACGCCCGTTGCAGCGGTTGGCGGCCAAATTACGGCTCACTAAACATGCAATCCAACATTGGTCGCGGGAGCACTTTGGCAATATATTCGATGCAGTGAAGCAGGCAGAGGAGGCAGTAATGGCGGCGAAGGCTGCACTTGATAGTGACCCATCACAACAACAATGGTTAGCACTCCAGGAGGCAAGGGCGGTTATGAGGAACTCTCTAGTCAAGGAGGAAGCATATTGGAGGTAAAAAGCAAGAATCAAGTGGCTTCAGGATGGAGATAAAAACTCAAGGTTTTTTCATGCAGTAGTGGCAGAGAGACGTGGTAAATCAGTTATACACCGGATTCGGAGTAACACGGGGGAGTGGCTGATTGATGAAGCTCACATTTCAGAGGAGGCAGTGGAGTATTTGACAGCCTTTTTTTCGGTCGAACCTTGTACAGGGTCATGAAGCACTTTGGAGGTCATTCCCAATATTATTTCAAGGGAAAAAAACACTGAGTTGCAGCGTCTTCCCTCGATGGAGGAGATAAAAGATGTGGTATTCGCAATGGATAGGGAGAGTGCGGCGGGCCCTGATGGATTGATTCACAGGTAGGTTTTTAACTTTTGCATGGGCGTGGTGGGGCATGATGTGTTTGAAGCCGTCGTTAGCTTCTTCTATGGTCACAAGCTGCTGAGGAGCGTTCGTCGACTTTGATAGTACTGCTTCCAAAGGTATCCTCACCCCAAGGCTTTAGTCAGTTTCGACCCATAAGCCTTTGCAACTTTGTCAATAAGGTTATATCAAAACTGGCGACTCGGTTGTCAAAGGTGCTGCCAAGTATTATCTCTCCTCAGTAGAGTGGCTTTGTTAAGGGCAGGCAAATTTGTGATAGTTTTCTGTTGGTCCAGGAGTTGGTGTCGAATATTCACCAGAAGAATAGATGGGGAAATGTAGTTTTGAATTTCGATATTGCCAAAGCCTACGATAGAGTCTCTTGACCATTTTTGCTCCAGGTGTTGAGAAGGTTTGGGTTTGATGAGGTATGGATTGATATGATTTGGAGACTTATCTCGAATGTGTAGTTCTCAGTAATAATTAATGGAGCGCCTCAGGGATTCTTCAAATCTAGTCGTGGATTGAGACAAAGGAGATCCGATTTCACCGGTGCTCTTTGTGATTAGTGCGGAAGTTCTTTCTCGTCTGTTGAACACTTTGAGTAGCTATTGGGGTTTTACGCCTTTTAGAGTTCCACGGGGCTGCCCACCTATTACTCATCTAACCTATGCCGATGATATTATTGTCTTCTCTAGTAGGTTGCGGCAATCTATGCGATTGGTGATGAAGGCGCTAGACGCTTATGTTTCAGTGTCAGGACAAAAAGTGAACCAACAAAAGAGCTGTGTCTTGGCTCATGCCAATTTTATCGGGAGCAGGAAATGGTCTATTGCGAAGATGACTGGGTTTCAGTCGAAGGAGTTTCCGGTTAGATATCTGGGTTATCCTTTATATGCAGGGCGGAGGAAGAGATGCTACTTTGCAGGGATTTGTGACTCGGTCACGAGTAAAGTGTTGTTATGGAAAGAGAGCTTTCTCTCGCATGGTGGTAAATTAGCTCTAATCAAGAGTGTGCTGTCCTCTATGCCACTTCACACATTCGCTGCTTCAACCCCTCTCAAGTCGATATTTAGTGGGATGGAGAGCATTTTTGCTGATTTTTTGTGCAGTTCCTCAGACACTAGGCCGCGCTTCCATTGGATTAAGTGGGCCCAGTTGTGCAACTCGTATGACAGGGGGTGCTGGTTTGAGATCCCTTAAGCATGTGTTTGATGCCTTCTCCATGAGATTATGGTGGCACTTCCGATTGCGACAATTGTTGTGGGTTGAGTTCATGCACTGTAAATATTGCTCCAACCTTCATCCTTCCTTTGCTGATACTTCTCCCGGGGACTCTTGGACTTGGAAGAGACTGGTGGCTATCCAGGGAGTAGCGGAGCAACACATCTATTGGGTTTTGGCTAGGGGCAATGTGAGCTTCTGACATAATAATTGGTTGGAGACGGGCCCATTATGTCGTTATGCGCGGTTTTCGATTTTGTTGAACAGGGTTGTTGGAATGTACAGCGGTTAAGCAGGGTAGCGCCTAGCGGATGGGTGGGGAGGATGTTGGGAGTCATGCCTCCCTCGCTGGACCAGGCGGATACCATGGTTTGGGCTCCTAGTACCTCCGGTGTCTTCTCATTAGCATCAGCCAACCGGATCGCTCGAGAGAATGGAAATAGCTCTTGGCTCTACTCACTGCTCTGGCTTCAAGGGCAGCCGACAAAGATTTCTTTTTTCATGTCGAGATTGGTAGGGTCCTATTTGCTGGTGATGGGCAAGTTGCATAAACTTGGTATATTCGGCCCCTCTTGTTGTGGTTATTGTCTACACCCATTTCAAGAGTCTTCTGATCATATTTTCTATACCGGAGAGGCGGCAAAGAGGATTTGGGGTTATTTCGAAGGGGTGATTGGAGGGTTTCAGGAGTCCTCTACGATACGCCACAAGTTGGTTAGCTGGTGGTTGAAACCTACTCGAAACCCATACCTCCAGTACCTTTTCCGTTTATTGCTGTCTTTGATCTGTTGGAATTTATGGCAGATGCGGAATTCATTTGTCTTTGATGGCCATCTGCGACCCATGGCTCATGTGTGTGCGGCAATTTTTTAGGACCTCAGGGATATTTTCCTCCTTAAATTTAAAAGCATCACTATCTCTGCTCAAGATTGGCCGAGTTTTTACGGTATGGTGGCTGGCCTGCATAGGGTTTCCAGGACCTTGGTGGTTCGGTGGAGCTGCCTAGTTCATAATGTCGTCAAACTGAACTCGGATGGCTGCTCTCGGGGAAATCGGGGGGTGAGTGGAGGTGGGGGGTGCTTCGGTGCTCGGAAGAAAGGTTTATTTTAGGGTACTCGTGCTTCTTTGGGGGGATGACGAGTCTGCAGGCTGAATTGAAAGCGATGATTTTTGGTGTTGGGCTGGCTATTGATCGTGAGTATTCTGAGTTGCATTTTAGAATCTGATTCTTTGGTTCTGGTTCAAATCATTCAAGGGAAGACTCGGTGTCCGTGGCAGTTGCGAGGGGACTTACAGGACCAGTTAAAAGTCAAAAGATTCGTTAGAGAGGTATCACACTGCTTTCGGGAAGCGAATAAACCGGCTGACCGCCTTGCAAACATTGGAGCGGACTCAGGGAAGACTCTAACGTATGGCTCATTGCGTGATTTGCCTCGCTTGGTGAGGGGTAACTTCGCTCTTGATCAAATGGGTGTTCCAAGTTTGCATAGAGTTAGAGTGTAGGTTACGCTAGCACTTGTGGTTTCTGGTTTTGCTTGCCATGTACGCCCTCCTTTTTTATGAAATAAAGTAACCTGTTTCCAAAAAATATATATATAGGTATGGCTTCTATGTTTCTCCTTTAATCGTTGCATTTTGTACTTATGTGATCTCATCACATTTAAATAGTCATCAAGACGTCTATTTGGATTGAAATTTCTTAAAAGAAAAAAATTATTACCTCATAAACACATTTTTCAATTATCCTTTTATCTCATATATATCACATCCCAAAAAAATTTTCAAATAATCTTCAATCCAAACCAAGAATGTTCGATATTCAAAACAAATAAAAAAAAATGCATGCCATAAGAAAGCCAAGAACGTTCTGCTATGCAAGATTAATCAAACCTTGGGTCTTGGTCATATGACTTGCATCAATGACAATTTACCCTTGACTTTAATCATGCTGATAACGTCCTACAATTTTCGTCTTAGTTCATGCTTTATGACGAGTGCGGGGCATACATATAATAATTTGCTCATCCACAGTCAAGTTTTACATTTATAGAAATATAAATACCCCATACGTAATTTGTCACAACTATACGAGTCAAGAGCGAATATAGGGTATTAAGAGTCGATCCCATAAAGAAAAATAGATAATTACCGGCACTACTAAATTCCTTTATTATTTAGATGTTCAACAAATTAAAAGAAATAAACTAAGGGATAAACGGATAGATAAATGCAAATAAAAACTTCTTGGATAATGGAATCCCTACCTATTCATACTAGCCTAACTCCCTAACCAAATGAGTACCAAAATCTCAGTTAAATTATGGCATAATTTTCTAATAGATGTGATACCCATTTTCGCCGGTGTACCAACTATACCTATAGTTAATTCATACATACTTTCGTGGTTATGAACTCAACTATAAGTTCATTCACTTCTATGAAATTCCATGGAACAAAGCCACAAAATCCACAAAGGTGTACCTCTACTTTCATGAGTGTACTTCCTAGGTTTAACACTTCTATGAACTAGTGTCAAATTTCAAATTTCATTGCAAATCTAACACTTTTAGATGATTATATTCGATGGCCAGTTAATCATGATTATAAGAGCAAAAGTGCTAAATAACTCAATCAAGATAATAGCATCATTTAGCCAAGAAATTAACACCAAACAATCATCGAAAGTTCAACCAAATACCCAAGGCATATATTTTGAAATAACATCACAAACACAATATCCAAATCTTGCATTAACAAATTTAGAGTTCAATACAAAGATAAAAAGTGGAGATAAGAGAATCCTTGTTACTAGAGTTTCTTGAGCCTCTCCTTCTTCATCTCCGTTGGCCTCCTTGTTGAACCAATACAAGCTTGGATAACCACAACTAGACTATACTACACTAACCTACATTAATATAAGAGAAAATAAAGAGAATTACATTTATTAAGGGTTTGTGTCTTGCGCCAAAGGGTTGTGTTACATTAATAGAAGAAGAACAACAAAAGGGTTGTGTCTTGCCCCAAAGGGCAAGACACAACCCTTTTGTTGTTCTTCTTCTTCCTCCAAACTCTCTCTCTTCTCTCAAGCTAATTTTGAACTCACTACCCACTCTTCCTCAAACTAGAAGAACTAGCTAGTATATATTCTTGGTTTTCAGGAGCCAATCTCTCTCCTCAATAATGTGTTTCTTTGTTGTTAAGAGTCAACAAAAAAGCTCCTAGATCCTCCAAAAGTTGGTAGCAATTGTCCTTTTGTGTTTTGTTCAAGATAAAGAAAGAAACAAGAAGCATGCAAGTTGGTAACTTGCAGCTGCCAGGAATCCCTTGGACGAATCCCTGGAGGGATTCTTCCAGGGATTGTATAGAGCAACTATGAATTGAAGTTCTGATCACAAACCGCATGAGGAAATGCGAGCAGTTTCTGCCACGGATTCATCTTCTCTCCTTTTGTTTTCTTTTTTCCTTTGCACCACTTCACTTAGCATTTATTGTGACTCCTCAAGCTTCATATCCGTGCTCATTTTACTTCTAATTCCACTTAAACTTGATCATTTCACCTACAAAAATAGAGAAGCTTTGCAAGTAAAATGATAAAAAATCACAAATAATTCATTAGTGACATAAAATGGACAATTCATACCAAATATCTTACAAATTGACTCAAAAACAATATGAAACACATTAAAAAAGACAGCAAATTTAGCCATTATCACTTTATCTTCGTTTTTGTGCCGTTCGTGATCTCATCATAAAGCGGCCAAAAAAACTTCATTTTTCGATTGAAAACTTCATATTACAAGCATTAAAAAATTTTTAAAAACAATTCTAAAAAATTTTCAATCAACTTTGTTCATATAAAACCCAAAACTAACTTCAAGAATAGCATATAATTGTGATCTAATCATCATCCATGACAATTGAATAAATTTGTCACCTGGGTTAATCAAATCTGGCTCTGACACCATTGTAAGGAACTATAGAGATATGCATAGCGAAAAATTTAAAATTTTTTATTCCTTTAGTAGATCCACCTTTGATTAAATCTATGTGACATAAAATTAATTTAAGAAAATTACTTCAATCCATGAAAATCTTCTTAAACCGACGGAGATTTGACAAAGAAGGGCAAAGCGATCCACGTAACAATACAAATGTTCTGTCTTTAACGGTGATCCACACGAACCTAAACTAAGTTGAATCAGTTTAAGCTAGATTAGTGCTCCCTATTGCCAAGGCACTTCCCATAAATTGGTTAAGAAAAACACTACTTTTTTACTATGAATTACTGCTCCAATGAGAAAAATAAGAGATGTGATTCTTCTCTTATTTTCTTGGACGAATTTTGGGTATTTTTCTCTCAAGATTTTTCTCAAAAATCTCACAAGACAATTGGTGTATCAATTAGTCTTGACAGCAAAAATGTTTAGTGAGTATTTTTATAAACAAATAACTTGTCCATATCCTTATGAAAACCTGAAACCAGTTTCCAATAGGATTCAACTTCCTTATCCTAATACAACTCTTGTATTTGAAAGACTTAAACTTATTTGCACAACAAATCCCTCAATTTTTATTTGTTTCACAAATTAAACTATAAGTTATAAAAACTATCTATCAAATCCCTACTTGAAATTGATTTAATCTATTTAATGTAGTACTTTATGTGTATGACCCATTAGGTTCTCATATGTGTTGGCAATAAGTAAGAGTTATAATTTTTAATAAATGAAATTAGATAAATTAAAACTTCTTTACTTTGTCATTGATTCTACCAATCAATCAATTCATTTTTATAAACTAAGATTGACATCTAACAATGCATCATGACTACTCAAGTAATGAAAAAAAGTGAAGTGGATGATTTCACCTTTCAACGAATGTTTACCATGTAATTAATATTTTTTTACCACACTTATCTCACATTAATATTGGAATAAATTGTGTCTATTCCAATATGAGATTAATGTTCATTTCTTGTACCAAAACATAAATCCAATAAAAAAGTATATAGAAATACTGTCTAAAACTCTTCCATTTAGCACAAAGAATTTTGAATTATACTTCTATAAGTGGTCAGACATGAGATAACTCCTCTTCCATAAGAGGTGGAAAATTCTTATAGGTATTCACCATTTTTTCATACTTCAAGTATATACACATTTGCTATTGTTGTGAGCATTCTCTGTTATGGGAGCAATCATATAATAAATAAAGTATAGCTGTCTGTATTCAAGATACCATGATAATACTAAATCTAAAAATCACTTGCCCAAATGTCACTTAGAGATCAATCATTTGGTACTTAAAGGATATCTCTGTACGGATCAATCTAATGAACTTGATCATCTTATCAAGCACTAATATACTAATTTAGAAGTTTCAGACATCATGTATATCAGGTTTACTACTTCTCATATTGAAGCGGCATAGTATATGCTAGTCTAACCGTATTAACAATGCCTTTTCTTGTTAATATTTCGACTAGAAATATTTAAGAATAAACTTATTTATAATTGAATGAATCTCACCATTATAACTCTATGATTTCATTGATTAGGTTTACTCTAAGAGTTTTATCATACTTATATAAATGTAAGCATTCCATATGATAAAAAAATAATTTATTATAACATTAATGGTTCAATTACACATTAAACCCTGGAAGGTAATTGACCTTAGACTTAATATTTGCTCAAACACTTATTCAACAACTGGCCTCATTTATTTTATATTTTTTTCTCGAGCTTTGGTGCACAACTATTAGGTTTATGAGTAAAGGATTATATTTTACATTGGTTCGAAAGATGGAGAAAGAGCACTTAATATGTAATGGTGCGAAACCTAATAGTTTAAAGTTTTAGATCAGAATTGAG